CTACGATTACAATTCGTATGTATTGTGCTAGAAATGTTATATTTAAAGAAGTACTGTTACAATAAAGATACTAATTTGGCCGGAAATGTTTTGCGGGTCTCTGCTAGTATATCATTATTGTGGTTTATAAAATAGTGTACAAACTACAAAATGAAAACGACATTGGAATATATGGACTGCTAATAGCGAGTGTATCCAACTGTGGATGATAAACATTTGTACATAGATGGGCATGGCCCTGACAGGGGTATTGAATTCACGCTATAAACTCGTGAAATCAACGCCCTCGTTTATGTCGCGTTTAACATTCAAACAGTGTACCCATCACACCTGTACAGAGTGAGGAAGAGGTCAAGCTTGCACCTGTCCGTCCCAGGTTCATATGGATCTAAATCTCGATGATTGGATTGATCCGACTACACGCAAGAAACCTATGGACACAATCTTGTGAAATTTGGTTTGTAAATCAATTCGACTATGCGGAAGACAACATACACAATCGTGTGGTATGTTACGTTGACATCATAGTCGCACTACATGGAATTCAGGTTCACAAATAGGGAACGCTTTTAAATAGCTGTTCGATGTGGTTGGCAGTGGTAATAGTCTTCTCTAACAACCAGTATGCTGTCTTTCGTATGGTTCTACACGACGAGTTTCACAAAAGTGTGTCTTTCGGTTTCCTCAACGGGTTACGCTGACGTTTGAACAGCGGAAGTGACTTTGAAACATCCGGTATTTTATCATTTCTTTTGTAAAAGTTTTGATCTTATTTTTTACTCACAGGCCATTTGCCCGATAATCCTGTTCTTTGGTTTGTAAATGTAACTTCTCCCTCTCCCTTATTTCAGTTATTGTAATATTTAGGCTTAATTGTACAACCATTTTTGGTTACTCATAGAAATTGGCCATCTCCGTTTCTAAACAATGTAAACACTGAAGTATAATTTTAGGCTACTCAAAGAAACTGGGTATTTACCTTTGTAAACTATATAAACAGTGAAGTAACATTTTAAGTTACTCAGAGAAACTAGGTATTTACTTTTGTAAATTATGTAAACAGTGAAATACAATATTTTGGGTAGTTAATTGGCGTGTCTTTGCACCCATTGCAGTCATATACAGAGTATAAACGAAGCTTTACTTGGCGTCCAAACCCAGATGAGGTTGTCCAGAAACCACCAGAAAGCGGTGAGTCGGGCGTTATCTTACATTCTTTTGTCTGAGGCCTGTATGGAAAGAAAACTGCAGTACAAACTTTTGTTTGAATAGATATAGACTATATTATAATAAAAATATTTTATGTATGTCTTATTTTTCTATAAAATCAAACATACAATAACCGCAAAACAGCATTCGCAGAATTCGTGATTATTAAGTGTCAATATAGGGTGAACTTTTTAAAAATTATAAATATATATATTCATATAAATGATAATTGAATTAATTGGACCACAATTTTAATAAGTTGGATATCTGTAGTAGTTTCAAGACAGAGTTTATAAATTTTAGTACAACTATGACCTTCGTAATTTTTAAAGTTACTTGAAATTATTTCTTGAAATCAAATTATGAACATACTAACTTATTCATAAATTTGTTTTAAGTTAATAAATTTCACTGAGCTCATGAATTATTTCTCACGTAACTTTTATTAGTAATGAAGTATAACTGCTGATTAGAAGTAATATTTATGTATGGGATGAGTTTAAAGTTAGATATTTTTATGAATTTGCTCAATGTTTTAGAGCAAATGGGCTATCTGCGCTCTGTCCCCCGCGAGGGCTTGAATCCCGGATTTTGGCATTGTAAGTACAAAAACTTTTCGCTGACTCAACGGGAAAGTTGTTCGACAACCAATTGAGATTTAATTTCTCATTTCCTGCATTTCAGACTATGTGATTTTAATCTAATGATACCTATTATCTTATCAAATAACGTCCGATTAGCTTAAATTAGATCAACATATTAAATTAAGTGCTTTGTGAAATTATTTAAAGACTTAAGACATTTTCTGGTGGCTCAACGATAAGCCTGAGGACTTGTAACATTAAAAATTGAATTTCGATAATCGTGGTAGACAGATCACAGATAGCCCATTGTGTAACTTTATGCTAAATAACAAACAAACAAACTTTTCCATTTTCCTCCATGAACAGGAAAATGGCATTCGTGTACTTGGATATTGAGTTATGTTTAGAGTTTGGGAAGTGATTACACACGCACAGACCTCTTGCAGGAAAATTATTGTTGTTTTTGTGTGTACAATAATCTTTACTCTAGTATGGTCTGGTTACTTGAGGCTTTTAGCAATGTACAGATATCACTTTTTGGCCATTGACGTTAACTCGGAATTTACTATGGCCAAAAGAGAGAAAAACCGGTCTGACAAATGTGATATCCCAAAAAAGACAGCTGTCTTTTCTGTCGGCGAATCTGGTATTAGCCTAGAACTTCCCCACACCTACGCTCAAACTGATATGGTTCCAGGTCACGTGTGCAAGGAGTATGCCGCAAGCAAACAGACTTTGTTGGTGTTGTTTTATTCTTATTTAAAGCAAGGCGCTCCCTTGTTGAGCAGATGTGGTAAGATACAGAAAGAGATTTTTCAGGTATTTTCTGTGAGCTCTTAGATTTGAGACTTACAGACTCTGTAAACTTTCATTTAGCTAGTATTTTTCTCTAAAGGTGTAACTTGTATTAACACTGTGTGGTTATTTTTATTTTTATTTAACTCTGTTTTTGCTTACGGGTGGGGGTGGAGGCTCATACTGAACTGGTGAAAGGGAACCAATAAAAGTTATTGTCCACATTCTCTCTTACCAGTTCCACACATCCATTTTAAACACCTGTCCTTCTTTTCGTTGTATTTTGTTTGTAATCTAATTTTGTCATTAACAATTGTGGTTTTGCTTTTTTTGTGTTGACTCATTCTTTGTTGATGAACTCAGTCGAGGTTTAGAAAGTAACAAACTCAGCGACATAATATTTATTGGACCTTTTGGAAGGTGGGCCCTACATACTGCTCTGTGGAAAATCCATTAAATCCACATTAATAATTAATCTAAAAATTCTCGTTTCAGCTTCTGAATAACAAATACAGGTCTGCAGCCTATGGCAACTCATTTTTTCTCTAATAACTTCAGGCTTAGCAACAGACAATGAACATTTCATTTATATAATTTCATACGGAAAACTAGGTCTCAAACTGGGTGGGCCCAACTTAGAGAATAAAATATATGTAAAGGATTATGTACTTTTATATGATGTTACAAATGCTTTAATTGCATTTAGTGTTCACATTGTGTTCAGGGTTACTCGCCATTCTTTTTGTATTATTGTATGGGATAATCCGGGAAAAATAAAAACAACTGTTTCTTATAATTGTCTGTGGAAAGTTTTTGATATTTCTTAAGTGTTTTGTTTGCCCATATAGAATGTTCTATAAGTTTCTAACAGTGCATGGTATATAGAGTACTGGTAGCTGTATGTTGCATTCATGGCATTGTTGCTAAGGCTATCTGCCACTGTCCGTAATTTTGGACTACTGACCAAAGGGAAGGCAACCAGTAAACAGCACTCTACCGCTCACCATCTGCAGTAAGGGATTGACTGTCACTCTTATAATGCACCCATGGTCTAATGTGCGAGAATATTTTGTAGTATCACACCGATCAAAACGGGCTCCAGAGCTTTACTACATGGCCAACCAGCGCCCATGTAGAAAGAGAGAGAGAGATTCCTAAGCATTTCCGTTGCATTGAGAACTGTGTGGAAATATCTGGAAGTATTCCATGCATTCGGATAAACAGAGTAGTGTAGTTATATCTTGTTCGGATTTAGAAATATTTTAAGATTCTTTTTTTTATATATAAAGTAGACATTCAATCCTTCCCTTTTGTAATATCTTGCATTTTTTATAAGACAACTGCCCTAAAATTGGTTATATGACTTTCTATTGACATTAATTTGAACCTAAGCCTACTCTAACAGACAAAAAAAAAAAAAGAGAGAGAGAGAGAGAGAAAACTTAGTACGAATTTAGTAGACG